CTCTCAGGGAACTGAAGGGAATGCTTATTTGATAACTGCTTTTCTGACCAGATGCTCCTGTGTTTGGGGAATCGGGGACCGCAGGCTCTGCTGATTCAAACAAACCCATCATTTCCCCATCAGGGTGTGACTGACTGTTGTTACATAACTGTTAACCCACCTTCTGTTGGGCTGCCCAGCACTTGGGTGATAGGTACCTGGGAGGAGGGTACCCTGTTCCGTTTATGTATACATCATTAGCATATATGGGCTGAGTTACTGAAGGCTGATTCGGATCTGCCTTTTGATAGAAATAATCTTAGATGCTATCATCTGACCACCCTGGGCGCCACCACTAGCTCATCCCTGCATTGAAATCATGGCCTCGTCCTTGCACATCATTTCCTATCTGTAAACATTCTTACCCTCACCCAGAAAAGGGAAGGGAGGAGCAAGGATGGAAGGATTCCTGGGCTACTGGGCTCACTGAGGTCAGCAGCAGCCCTGGGATGGGGTTGCCTGGGCCTTTGGGGTTTGGTATGGGAGCCTGGCCACCCAGACTATACCTCATGCCTGCCTGGGGCCCAAGACATGCCTGTGTCAAACCTCTCAGCTGTGTCCGGTGGGGGCCAAGGTTCACTGCATTAGTGGTAGGTAAATATTGAAGGGAAAATTGATGGTGTCCCTGCCTTTTCCCCTTCAGGTCCTGTGCAAGCTGATAAACAGTTTATACCCACCTGGACAAGAGCCCATTGCCAAGATCTCCGAGTCCAAGATGGCTTTTAAGCAGATGGAGCAGATCTCCCAGTTCCTAAAAGCTGCAGAGACCTACGGCGTCAGGACCACTGACATTTTTCAAACAGTGGATTTATGGGAAGGTAAACAGCTCTATGCCTTTGGGGATTGTTCTCCCCTCCCCCTCTCCTTGCCCATTTCTTTGTGAAATCTGCTCACGGTGTTCTTCCCTGTGCCTGTGTGTATGTGTGTGTGTGTGTGTGTCTGTGTGTGTGTGAATGTGTTTGAATGTGTGAAGAGGGGGTGTGTTACCAGCTGTCACCCAGGGGTGTTGTTAGTCTCCCCTTTATGACGTTCCATTGAAAGGGGTACCCTCCTTGAAGGAAATGCACACCCCATTTCACAGCAGGGACCTCAAAACACTAAGGAATAAACAGAAAGGAAGCTAAAATCATTA